TCTCAGATAGTGCAAACAAAAAGAAGAAGCCTCCACCCCCCCCACCCCCCCTCCTAAGGGGAGGTCTCTGCAAGGCATCTCCCACAGCCCTGATACGAGCTTCGGCCAGAAACCGGCACGGAGATATCTCGAGCCGAGAGTCGCCTCAAGACAGCCTATATACCCTGGTTGGGAAGACAACGGATGAGCCGCTCAAGGTCTCGAATCCAAACCAAATCTCGGCACTCAATACCCACAATATGGGACTCAGGCCATGAGCCTTCGTCATCAAGATCGACAAAGTTTAACAACAGTTGAACTGGAACTCGGGCCATGAGCCTTCGTCATCAAGATCGACAAAGTTTAATAACAGTTGAACTGGGACTCAGGCCATGAGCCTTCGTCATCAAGATCGACAAAGTTTAACAACAGTTGAACTGGGACTCAGGCCATGAGCCTTCGCCATCAAGATCAACAAAGTCCAACTACGGTTGAACCAAAAATCAGGCTATCCCCTTCACCAGTAAGTTCAACTACGGTTGAACCAAGATTCAGGCTATGCGCCTTCGCCAGTAAGTTCAACTACGGTTGAACCAAGATTCAGGCTATGCGCCTTCACCAGTAAGTTCAACTACGGTTGAACCAAGATTCTGGCTATGCGCCTTCACCAGTAAGTTCAACTACGGTTGAACCAAAATTCAGGCTATGCGCCTTCACCAGTAAGTTCAACTACGGTTGAACCAAGATTCAGGCTATGCGCCTTCGCCAGTAAGTTCAACTACGGTTGAACCAAAATTCAGGCTGTGAGCCTTCACCAGTAAGTTCAACTACGGTTGAACCAAGACTCAGGCTAAGTGCCTTCGTCATTAAATCAAGGCTATACGCCTTCACCATTGAATCAAGGCTATGCGCCTTCGCCAAGAGGTTCAAATACAGTTGAACCATGACTCAGGCTACGCGCCTCCAAAACTGCATCAAGCCCATGCGCCTTCGCCAGTAAGTTTAGCTACGGTCGAACCAGGACTCAGGCTACGCACCTTCGCCATCAAACCCAACGAGTTCAACCTCGCCTGAACCATAAGACTAGACGCCCTCGTCCTCAAATCTAACGAGTTCAACCACAGTTGAACCAGGGCTCGGACCAAGCGCCTTCATCACTGAACTCAGCGAGACCCAACCTCCAACGAAGCGAGGCGCGGGTTAGGCCCCCACGCCTTTCAAGTAAGTACTCCCAACTCAAATTAAGATTGGGGACACGTAAAGTCCGGCCCCGGACAAACTACAAGGCCGCGCTTCTGTAGGCGTAAAAGACGCAATATCCCCTACGGTCGGTGTGGACCCTCTCCTCGCTTCCAGCGAGAATGACGTTAGCATAGCCGGGGATGACCCCCTGTCCCCGCAGTCGAGACATACCAATCTCCCCCATTAATGGGGCTTCATCCACCTGATCCTCCCCACCATCGGCGGTGAAATCAGTCATCGGAACTCCGGGCAGAGATACTATCTCGTCAACCGATGGAGCTTCGCCGGTCTCCACCAGTTCGGCACCGCCCATCACCGGAATTGGCCCCTCGGTCACCTGTGAATTAACCGGAAGGTCCGTCGGAAGAACATTTTGGGAAGAAATGCCTGCCATTGTTGATACAATAACGAGAAAGAAACGAAGTTCGGGGGACGAAGACGAAGGTGAAACAACAATAAGAAAATCTTCTTCAGAATCTCTCTCAGACAAGCAATAAGAATATGAAAAATGAATGCCTCAGCCTTTATTTATAGGCAATACAAGTGGCCCTCATGCATCCCAACAGCCACCATTAACTACATGACCAACCGCACGCCGGTTCAATTCCATAGGAATGTGCGTCATTATGACAGGCTCCATAAAGCAGCCTTACAATCACCCGTCGGCGTCTCGCCCTCGAAATGGTCATAACGACCTATGAATGCCGAGGAGGTGCTCCTTGCGCCCTAGAAATTTTTTGACACCACCGAGCACGTGTCAAGCGTGCCCCCATTCCCCTCGGCCGCACAACATACGACTCGTCCGCCATGGTCGACGGGTATGCATCCAAAGCAAACGTAAGGATCAGAGCACAATGCAGCTCGACCTCACTCGAAGTAAGTTAAAAGGTCAAGCGCCTTCGCCCAGGAGGAGAGTTCGACCTCGATCGAACGATGACTTGATAGCCCATAACAGGATACTAATATTCTACAAGGCTAAGGGCCATCGCCAAAAAGAAGTCGGCCTCGACCGAAGCAACAGTCGACATCCCCATCCGTGTTTCTCAAAATACAGCCAATGGAATCCACTCATCGAGCTCGGCCAAGGCCCGACCTCAATAAGCGGAGGGACTAACTGTATGGGTCAGAATCCGACCCCACGATAATTAATGAGGCTAATCCCGTCTTAAGCTAATTCATGATTAATTAGTGGCACGACCACTCAGAATTGACGATGTTCAACCCGCATCTGGCTCGATCAGCAAGGCCATGGCCTATCCGCCATCATAAAGGCGAGATCCCAACGTGGTCACGGCCACTTATTGCCAGCTCACGAAGCCCACAGCTATAAATACCAAGAGAGGGAACCCTAAAAAAGGAGCTTCTTCTTCACCACTATAGCGGGAGAAAAAAGAGACAACGATACCCAAAAATTGGGGTCAAAAGGCACATCACTGTAAGGCTCTGAACCTCTTCATGGAGAGGCAGACCAAACCAATATTATCAATAAAGGCTTCTAATGTTTCTCCCCCTAACTCTGAATACTTATTTTCGTCTTCTTCATTTGTTCCAACGGATTATTACGATTTGCTATGATTTTCCCGTAATTTATTTATATTGTTTTATACTCATAAGGTTTGTAATAACTTTTGAGGCAAACAATACCGTACTAATTTTTCGGTTATTCTATTATGTATAACCAAAATTAGATTTTTCGAAACCCTCCCAATCATGTCGGTTTCTCTTCGGTATCGATACAGTTTGGTTAATTTTCGGTATTTTTTAAATATCATGTAAAAGTCACTAGTAGAAGTAAAATGCAATAACATACGTACTTTTATAGGACTTAGCAAAACTCTCTAGATATTTTTACTATTTAAATGATGATGAATTAAAGAAAACATGAAAGATAGATAGAGCATAGATCGATCAACTGTTCTACAGCAGCGTAAAAGAAACTAAGCAAAGACAAAGCAAATATAAATCACACGAGTGAAAAGATATTAATCAAGTTCAGACTCAAGAATAAATTCTATAAAAGATTAAATATTCAAAAAGATAAATATAAATAGAAATATATTCCATACATTATAGTTTGCTACTCATAATCACTATAGTACTTTGTGTTTTGCTGGTAAATATGCCGGAAAAAATTTAGTTTTAGTAGGAGTAACATAATAGGGTTGAGAAGTAGGATTTTGAGTTTAATTATTTGTTGGCTTGTAATCGTTTTCATAATTCCAAGGCCCAAAGAAAATTTTAATGCTTTATTATTTTTGAACTTAATATATAAATATATTTTTCACATGTAAATTTATTCGGTACGGTTCGGTATTTTTTCGATTTATTTTTGTAAAATAAAAAACCTAACCTATTTATCTGTACAATTATAGATTTATACAAAAACCTACGGTTTTATTAAAAGAAACCTAAAAATCGGTTCTGTATAGTGTACAGTACGGTTCGGCCGCTTTAGTCGGTTTTTAAATATCCATTGATACACCTACTTCTAGTACAAACAACTCTATAATCAATTATAGGCCGTTTATCTGATCACAATCATATTATTTAGCATATGGTCCATATTTAATATATTAGTCGACAATTTTGTGATACCGTATTTCTTCCTGTCCTATCGCTACTGTTTCCACTTGATTAATTAGTTCAATCCCTTGGAGTTTGAAATTTTAGCAGATAAAATTAGAACTAAATAAAAAGGAATTTGTATATTTCCTAGATACATAGAATATCCTACGAGATATCCTATAATCTTATACGTATTATCATCGATATGATTAAGGATCTTCGCTTTAAATGCTTATTTGAAAAAATAATATAGACCAACTTGGATCATCAGATGGCGAAGCATAAAATTTAGGCTATGGTTGGAGACTTTCATTTCATCTCTCCTGGAAAAAGGATAGAATTTTTTTTTCATGACTTTTCTTTCCAATAAATGCGTTAGACTTTTGATTTTAGTATGCTAAAAAGATATAAATCTTAGGAAGCGTTATTAGCTTAGATATAATTTGTGAATAAAATACAATAACGATAAAAGATTTATAATTTTCAGGTTTATAATAGATTTATTATACCAACACTCAGATAAGCTAAAAAGTGGAAAATAGATAAATTACAGCTTGTTACTTTTCTAGGAAAATTTCAAGCTCAGAGAGTAATTGATAAGTTCAACTAATAGTTAAATGAAGTTTTTCAAATTTTAGCTTTTCAGTGTTAATATTCCAATGAAATGGATGGGGAAACAATTAATTAAGAATATGTAGACAGTGAAATTCATTTACTTATTATGACAAAAGAAATATATGGAGCACCAGTTACATGTTTTGTACTATGAAAATCTTATCAGAAAAATAAAATTAAAAAAATCTAGAAAACCAAAAAAAAGAGGTTGAAAAAATTATCTTCCATTTTTTTATCTGTTGTTAAAATATATTTAAACTTGATGTATTAAAAAAAATTAATAGTTACAATTGATTATACTTTTAAGTTTATAGATTTAAAATTTTATACTAAATTTGTTTCAAATATGATAAGTGCAAATGAACTAATACTCTATCTGCGTCTGCATGAAACTTTTAAGGACATCCTGTAAGAAATTAACCTAATACGAATGATTGGTAACTTCTAGCCAAAAGAAAAAGTAAAAAGTTTATTAGGACTGGTCAAATTTCATTCATACGGTAAAAATTCAATATAAAGGTTAAAATATTTTCCAAATATCTATAAATTTTAAACTCCAATAGTGTTGCCGTGAAGGATATAAAAGGGAAACACTGGACATGAATTCTCCCTCATACCTCACTACTACAAAATCTGTTACAAAACATTCCTTCATCAATACCAAAGAAAATAAGTGGAAAACCAAAGAAAATAAGTTGAACCCAAAAATCAGAATATCACATACACTGAAGAAGAAGAAGAAGATAATGGTGATGACTAATATCCATAGCCATTGAAGAAAATAAAAGCTTCCAAAATGGTTCATTTGTTTACATTTGAAATATTGCAGAAGGAATCTGAAGCAAATGGTTCAAGATTGAAGAACAAGAAGCAACAACTCTAAAATATTATTCTCTTCATTTTTTTTTATATTTATGACAACAAATATAGTAACAAACCACCCTATTATCTGTTCCACTTACATTAACCCAATTTCTCTTCAGTACTATTCTGCCAAAACAACGTTCCCCATTTTCTCTTTCATGTATTCTGTATGTCAATACTGTACATATTAGTTGCTTCAATAGTATCCTATCTTTGCTTATCTCAGCTTACCAAAAAATTATCACCATCATTATCTCCCTTATGAGCAAATTATCATTCCTATCAACAACTAATCACTCTCTTTGCTCAAATAATTTACTTTTTCCTTTCACTGTCTCAAGAAAAAACTTCTTTCCCAAGCCCAAATGGACTCATAATGTGGTTACAGCATCTCAACGACGAGGATCCAAAAAGATCGTGGTCATAATGGGTGCTACTGGTTCTGGAAAATCAAAACTCTCCATCGATCTCGCCACTCGTTTTTTCCCTTCTGAAGTTATCAACTCAGACAAAATCCAAGTCTACAATGGCCTTAATATCACCACAAACAAAATCTCAATGTCTGAACGCAAAGGTATCCCTCACCATCTCCTCGGAGAATTCAACGCGTCCGAGTCACACCCCGAGTTTTCTCCTTCCGATTTCCGCTCAGCTGCTAGTTGCAGAATCAACGAAACCATCAATCGCGGGAAAATTCCTCTTATCGTAGGTGGGTCCAACTCATTCATCTATGCTCTGCTTGCAAAACAATTTAATCCGAAAATAGACTTTCTCGAACCGTCCAACCCGGTTCAGTGGGTAAGCAATGAGCTTCGGTATAAGTGTTGCTTTATTTGGGTTGATGTTTTGGGAACTGTATTGAATCAGTATTTGGATAAGAGAGTTGACGAAATGCTCAGCTCGGGAATGGTCGAAGAGCTAGAAGAGTATTTTAAGAAAGAGGGGTTTTCAGATTCTAACTCAGTGAGTCGGAACAGTGGGATTCGTAAGGCAATAGGAGTGCCGGAGTTCGAGAAATATTTCAAAGGGGAGGAATCATATGAAGAAGCAGCGGAAGAGATAAAGGAGAACACGCGCGTGTTGGCGGAGAGGCAGGTGGGGAAGATTTTGCGGCTGAGAGAAGCTGGGTGGGACCTACAAAGAGTAGATGCAACGGCGGCGTTTACGGCGGTGATGACGTCAGAATCCGGTAAGAGGGCGGCGAAGGAAATTTGGGAGAAAGAGGTGCTGGAACCAAGTGCAAAGATTGTGAAGCAGTTCTTGTTGGAGTAGGTCGTTTTCCAGCTATTTCCAGCTCTTAATTCTCTAACCCCTTATGCCTCTCTCATGTTTTTTTTTTAAAAAAAAATATTTGACTTTTATCTTATTTCTCTTTATTTTTTTCGTTTTTTTTTTCTTATATAGGCAACAGTAAAAGAGAGGCAGTCAATTGACAAATAGGGTCGAATAGTTCGATCGAGCTCGATATGAGTAGTAGCTGACTACTTTACCACTAAGCTGCTGAGGAACAATAGAAGATTCGATCTCATAAAGTTCAATTTTTCTTCTCTATCGAGTTTTTTGCAAACGAGGACAAATGGAGGAGTGAAGTGGCGACCAATTTTGTCGATAATAGGCTGCCATTGACATAGAGCTGCTCTTTTCTCTGCTGAATGCTAACGTATAAAATTCACAAGGAGGCAAGAAACAGAGTCGTTTAATTTCCCTAGCGTTTTGAGGATTTAGGATCACTTTTGGTTTTCTATTTTAACCTTTTATTATCCATCTTTGAAGAGTTAACATTTGGGTTATAAGTGCAATGGTATGTTGCTGCTCAATTTTGTCCGCAAAAAGAACAGAGGAATAGGAGTTACTATGTGTTATTAAATGGGGTATAGAGTTGGTTTTTTAATGTAAAGCTATGTGTGATTATTAGACTAAATGGTTTATGCTTATCAGTTGCCTAAACGGTAATTACATAAAAAGTTGCAAAATGATGATCGATAAGTATAAAATTGTTCCCACCATAGTAGTTCCTTTTAAGACATCACATAAATTTGAAGTGATGTTGTGCAAGTGATTCATGGAATCGGAACTTTGTAATAGTAAAAATGATTTTTAGGGTCCAATGCACAAAATATTTTGTAATTTGTATTCATGCAGGGTGTGAGGAAGGGTCGCACTCTTAAAGGTGTGATGGGGACAATTTTCTCTAATACAAGCATTAGTGGCTACTTCAACAGTTCGAATTCCTGACTTATTAGTCACACGAAGACAACTTTATTATTGCTCCAAAGCTTCCCTCAAGTAAAAATTATTTTTCTGTTCGTCAATTACAAATTTATGATAGAATTTCCTTAGACTTGGTCATTAGATGTATGGAGTTCTCTTGGTCTTTTGCGCAAATAGCCACCCTCCAATGCTCTATTATACACTTCAAATTAAATTCTTATGGTGTGTTTGTTACGAAAGAAAATATATTTTTGAAAAATATTTTCTAATTTTTTAATGTTTGGTTGACTTGAATATTTTGTTTCTCATGAACTCATTTTCCTTATCAAGAGAAGGAAAAATATTTTCTTTCGCCGTATTCCCCATCCTCACCTCAACTACCAAATAACGAAAAATAAGCTATAAAAACACCTAGTTTTTAGGAAAATATTTTTTCTACATTTTCATTCGTAACAAACACACCCTTAATAATAAAGGATTTTCTGACGTTTGACCAAAAAGTGAAGCAACTTTTTCGAACTTTTAGAATGAACTGAAATTCTTGGACTATAGTGGGTCCCACTGCTCATTCTAATTTGTCGGACATCTGACAAATAGGACTGTCCTTTAAACCATCCTTCACAAATCCCAATTGGGGCCTCGCTGTACACTATTTCAGCTAGACAAAGAGTTGGTTTAGTTTTAAGAAAAGTAAGAATTAATTCTTTATTGTGTGTTTGTTTATTTGTATTAGATGTGAAATGTATATGGAGTAAAATTTAAAATATAAATTTATATTTTAAAATTTAAATTAAATAACTTAATCTTAACAATCACAAATTAATGTGACAATGTATTGTTAGCGTTATCTTTTAGTCAATTAGTTGTATTAGGACTTTATTTGAATTATTCTTGTAATTATCCTTTTCATATATTGTTGTAACTTTATCTTATAAATACAAGTCTGGAAAGGTGAGCAAGACTCACGCTTTGACGCTTCTCAGTTTATCAATATCATCTTGGTATCAAGAGCCCTAAACGATCCCCTTCAATGGCTCCAGAAAATTCTTCTTCTTCTTCTTCTGCTCAAACCGCCATGAATCAATCTTCTCTTGGCCTCCCCATCCCCCCTCCAACAGTTTCCAATATCAAAGGTTTTGTTCCTATCAAATTGACATACGTCAATTACCTCACCTGGAAGAGAGTTTTTCTCACGGTCCTTAAAAGTCACAACCTTCTTTCCTTAGTAGATGGAACCATACCATGTCCATCACCAGACGACGCTGATTACAAGCTATGGATTCAATGCGATACTATTGCATTAAGTTGGATTAATGCAACACTTTCTTCTGTTGTTCTTGGCACACTTTTGAACTATGCTTGTGAGACATCTAAACAGGCTTGGGACACCCTCGCATCACTATATTTGGATCAAGTCTCTTTCTCCGCCATTCACCTTAAGTCAAAATTCCAAAATTTCAAGAAAGGTCCCCTTTCTATGGAAGATTATCTTCAGCAACTTCACTTTATTGCCTACTCTCTCAGGGCAATTGGTAAACCTCTGACTGATGATGATTTAGTCACTCAAGCTTTGCAAGGATTGCCTTCATCTTATCGTACCTTTGTGTCTGGATTAAATGTTATTGGCTCACTTCCTTCATTCATTGCATTACGACCACTACTTCTCACTGAAGAAGCTCATATTAATGCAAATGCTTCTGAAGAGTCAAATGCTCAAACTGCGTTGCTTGCGTCAACTCAAGCAAAGACTTCTAATTCATCATCTTCCTTCAATGGAAATCAGCCTACAAAAGGATACTTCCATGGACGAGGTTGTGGCAAAAATAACAAGGGACAATATGGTAGGGGTCGAGGATACCACAATTCTTCATGGTCTGGTTTCCAACATCGATCTCGGCCTCCTTCCCCTGCTACTGGTATTTTGGGTAGACCACCTTTCGTTCCTACTAAACAATGTCAATTTTTTTTCATTATAATCACACTGCGTTAGAGTGCAGAAACAGGTTCAACCATTCCTTTGTGGCTAAAAATATTTCTAAACCATTTGCTGCAATGAATTTGGAGGAGGTTCAACCAACAGTTTGGTATCCAGACTCGGGGGCATCTGCGCACATGACAAATGATCCTTCTACTCTTACTTCTCACACTCCTTATTCTGGTCCTTCTCAAGTCATGGTTGGAGATGGTACTCTTCTCTCAATTAAATCTACTGGTTCATCTATCCTTCCAACAACTTCTAAGCCTCTTCTCTTAAAGAAAGTTTTATATGTTCCGTCCCTTGATAAAAATTTGCTTTCTATTCAACGCTTATGTGCTGATAATAATTATCTTATTGAATTTACTAACTCTGGTTTTTTTGTCAAGGACTTGAAGACCAGAACAGCGTTGCTCCACTGTAACAATTCCGGGTCTCTTTATCCTCTACGTGTCGCTCCATCTGCCACCTCTATCTTTGGTCTCTTTGCTAAAGTCTTGCCTGCTTCCCTTTGGCACCAACGTTTGGGACATCCTGGTCGAGAGTCTCTTAGTTCGTTAGTTTCTACAAATTTAATTTGTAGTACTTCTTCCATCAACAATAATTCTTGTAATATTTGCCATTTAGGCAAACAAACTAGAATGTCTTTTCTTTTATCAAGTAGTAATGCAAATTTTCCGTTCGTTTTAATTCATTCCGATGCATGGCATGGTCCTACTCTCTCAAATTCGGGATATCGTTATTATATTTTGTTCCTCGATGATTACACTAAATTCTCTTGGTTCTACTTGATGCGCGAAAAATCTGAATCCTTTGACAAATTCAAAGAATTTTATGCAATGGTTAAAAACGTTTTCCACACCTCTATTTCTTATTTCCAGTCCGATGGAGGTGGGGAATACACTAGCAAAAAATTTAGTTCATTCTTTAAACAAAATGGCATAGTCCATCGTTTTTCTTGTCCTCACACTTCTGCTCAAAATGGTAGGGCCGAGCGAAAACATCAACATATTACGAATGTCCTACGGTGTCTTATTTTTCAAGCATCTATGTCTTTTCAATTTTGGGCTGATGCTTGCTTATATGCTGTCTTCCTTATTAATGTTACTCCCCTTCCAGTGCTGCATTTTAAATCTCCGTTTGAACTACTCTATGGTCATGTGCCCGATTATAATTTAATTCGTGTATTTGGGTGCCTATGTTATCCCTTTGTGGCATTTAATCATTGTTCTAAGTATCAACCTCGATCAAAACCTTGCTTATTTCTTGGATCGTCGGATAAACACAAAGGATTTAAATGTTTGGATCCTTGCTCAAATAGGATTATTATCTCTCGGCATGTCCATTTTGTTGAGGACTCATTCCCGTTTCAGACTCTATTTCCTACTCCTACTCCAAGTACCTCACCTAATTCTAAATATCCCGTCCATATCACACGTCTTGCTGGAATTTCCCCCCCTCCCCCTTCTGTTTCGCAACAACCCATTTCAAATAGGAAAAATCTTCTGCTTCCTCCAACTTTGCAAAGTCCTATTTTAAATGGGAACAGTCATCCTACTTCACCTCATTTGTAGCATCACATTTCAAATAGGAGTCTTCAAACTCCTTTGAATCACGAGAATATTTCCATCCTTTCTCCTTCTTCACCAGGCACTCCTTCTCCTTCCCATTCCCAATCACCTTTAGATCACGTAACTTCTACTAATCCACCTATTGTATCCACTTCGAGTTGCTCCTCTCTCTCTCATCCCATGCACATTCTACTCCAACTCTTTTTTCACCCGACAATCTTCAAGTATCTCGCACACAATCAACAACTGTACAACCTCAAACTCATCATATGACTACTCGCTCTAAAACAGGGTCTCTCAAGACACGCATTCTTACTTCCTTGATGGCTTCTACATGTCCCATTTTATCTGAACCGCCCTCCTTTGCTCAAGCTTCTAAAGACACTCGTTGGATGCAAGTGATCTCGCCCAACTCTAGTCCTAAAAAGGATAAGCGGTCGCTGCAAATATAATCCGGTCTAAAAGTCCGGAGTCGAATCCCACAGAGAACTAAGGTTTCGCTGTAATTGTTCAATATCGCAAAGAAGACAAGTTTGAACAATTTCTAAATTATAATATTAAGATTTTTATATCTAACTAATTAACCAACAAATACTATAAAACGGTAAAATTATCAACTAACGAGACAAAGGTTTGGAGACTAAATTAAGGAGGTCTAGAGTTATGATTTTCCCAATTATTGATTTCATTAGTTGTATGTTTCTTATAGCTTTGACTTAGTTGCCTCTATCAATCATGAACTCTACAGCTATCATAAATCTCTCTCAAGCAATTATGATAATTTACTAGACGCACTCTCTCAAGCTACGCTAGCTAGATTCACATTACAGTTCACTTAGATCGCACCTGAGGTATCGTTATCTCTAATCCAACCTCTAAACCCTTGGTTATGACTCTCGCCTATACTCCGGGAGTGATGTTGTTTAAACAACTACCTAAATATGCACTCTCTCTCAAGCAGATACATAATAAATAGGAACGGCTAATTGAGGATCCTTTCAATTAACCAAAATCAAAACGTAGTTGAACAAATAGAGATTAACAACTAACTCAAAACTACCAATTCATCCCCAAAAGGTTCCATCAAAACCCTAAAAAATGAATTATCTTTTCATAAAAGTATGTGAAAACACAATACTCCAATTCATAACCAACAATAAAATAGGAAGAAGAAGGGGAAAAACTCGTAGTTGAATCTTCCTCCTTGCTCCTAGCATGTTCTTGCCTCCAAGGGTGTTGTCTAACCCTAAAGTAGTGTCTCTCCCTTAAAATACCATTTTTCCATGTATATATACCAAGTAGGGTCGAGCCTAAATAATTATACCTTCTCCTACGCGAAAAAGGACAATATTTCACGTCTGGACTGCCGCGGCCGCGGTAAACCGCGGTCAACCGCGGTATATACTGCCTCAGCCCCGCAGTCGCGGTTTCGACCGCATTTTTCACCCTGTTCCGTTTGGAATT